AAAAAAAAAAAAAAAAACCGTCACCATATTTTTTACACACAAAGTTGAATTTAAAATGAAGACTTACCTTGCGTGGAGGTGGAACGGGATTACCCAAACCGTGATCCGAACACATAGAACTCAACGATTCGCTGCTACGTCCGTTGCTCAATCTCGAGGAGTTGATCCCGGATGGAGCTGGCGGCGGGGGGTTCCTCGGTCTCTGCAGCGTTGAGCTGTTCACTTTGTCCGCACCTAACGATAACAGACAAAGTCGAATAAATTTCAGGTACGGATTGGACGGCACAGGCTCTAAATTTACCCGAACTAGACGGCAGTTCGTAGAGAGGTTTGCGTGAACTTTCAAACGCACCGTGTCCCGTTGAAGAATCTCCACTGGGCGATCTTTTATGATGTTGACTGTTTAATGTATTTAACGCATGTGGTAGAGTATGTAAAGAATGCCCAGCTAAGATCGGTTCACTCGTTGTACGGCTATGTGTTGACGCTGCTAAGGACGCGGACGAAGGTAGTGTACCGTAATGAGAGGAAGGTATACCACCTGTACTTCCGGCCGGTGGTGGTGGCGGTGCTACGCGCTTCTTCAATGACCCGTGAATATTGACCGAAATATCTGGAGCCATGGGAGCAGGTACTGAAAATAGTGAATGAGATTTTAATGCATGATAAACCTATTCTATGAAATAGAATAAAACAGAAACTAGAAATAAAACTAACTTTTTCAAGATATTATAAAATAAAGGATTACAAACAAATATTTTCTATAATTTAAATTACATTTTCTATAATAATACAAATCATCTTTGAAAGTTGTAATTCATCAAAATTATTATAATTCATCATTATTTAATAACGCAGGGCATATCGTACCAGCAACGGGTTTCCTCGATTGAGGCGGCGGTGGTGGAGGCATTTGCTGTCTGTTTGTCGAGGAACTTGGTGAAGAACCGCTTTGCAGGCTGTCACAAGTGCTACTTCGACTACGTAAAGTCACTGGCGAGTCTCCTGATCCGGTACCACCACCGCTACCACCACCACCTACGTAAGAAGGTGGCCTGCTGCGTGACTTCTTCTCGGGTGTTAAACAGCCATTCTAAAATTACAAATGGTTTCATCAGTAATCTGTAGCCTCATCATTATTGCTACTACTTAGTTAAACGTACCCTGTCTTCTATTATCGTTTCATCGTCAGAGAAATCGGTAGATCCTTCGTCATGCGAGAGATTCCAGTCGATATTAACATTATCGAACAACGTCTTTTGTCTTTGCAGAGCATGACTCAACTGAGGATAATGAAACAATCGTTACCACGTGCATATATGTACACAAATTAGAAGGCAATTGCTCGATTCTTTACCAGCTCTTTACACGTATGGTGTCCCATTTCTTGGGCAATGTCAAGCGGTGTCTTATCCTGCTTATTTCGATGCGTTGGGTCGGCGCCTGCTCGTAGCAGCAGCTTCATTGCCTCTGCTCTGTCGTGCCGTGCACAAAGATGCAACGCTGTTTCTCCGTCAATGGTGATCCTATCTATACCACCCGTCGACATGTTTTGTATTAGGAAATCTATGATGTGCAAACTGTTTCCCATTTCGCGTAGAATTGCCAAATGCAAAGCCGTTTCGCCCACATCCTAGATGGAAACAATATACAATGTCAGTTTTTTTATCATTTTTAAATAGACTCTATAATCATTTCCATAGATTGATACAATATGATAAATAAATAAAATAAAATTTTTGGTCTTTATCAAAGTTCTGATATAAAGTATCAAGTTAATTTTCATTAAATAGTGTAATAAATAAATTTCATTTTATTCTATTCTTTTTTGAGTTCGTGTATGAAATATCTTTATTTGAGATAATTAGTATTCTTGGCTTTATGGTTTTCATAATTTTTGCTTGAAAATCGTACCGATGTTGGCAATGGCGCTGCTAAATCTACGTTCTCCGCATAGACTTGCAAAAGTTGTTGCAGGTCACGATTATTAACAGCATGCTCCAAGTCAGAAAGAAGATCTCGTTCATCCGCGCAAGTATTCATCACGTATCTCTTATCAACGTACTTGGCTCTTATAAATTCGTATCTTTCTTCCCTATATCACACGAATAAAACATGTTTAATTCTTCGCATAGAAAAACTTACAAGCTAGAAAATTGATACTAGTATAAATTCAACTAAGTTTGGCACACACGTACATTGTCGAAGTTGGCGTTGGCTTGTGATTATGATGCAGTGTAGCTTCCATCACTTCGTTAAATGCCTGATTGGTCATATGTCGTGCAAGAAGTAACTGAGCAGTGCCAACATTGTCCAACGTTAATGATTGTATTCTGGATATATGTACTCCTAGATCTCGGTGAATTCCACTACACTCTATGCACACGATTATGCCGAAATTTGTAGAAAGCCATGTAGCATCTATTGAACAAAGAAGAACCAATTAGTTTTACGTTTGTAAATTACTCGTGTTTATGACATTGTAGAAAACAAGTCCACAGTATTGCACGAAAGTCTTAGACTATCTGTTAAAAAAGGAAATATTTTGTTTTCATGAATAAATATAAAGATGAATGAATATTTTTACATTTGTGGTTACTTCTTAAGATATATTTGATTGAAAAATTATTGATAATTGGAATAATTAATTCCTTGTGTAACTTTTTTTTAGTTTTTCAACAATGAAGATTTTTTTTGAGATTCTGCTAAATAATTTTTAAATAAACTTGAATTATAGTATATGACATTCTGTTTTTAATTTTAGTCTTAATTTATTTAAATTCTTGATTTTAATTTTATGCATTTTACAATGTTTAATTTATGGCAGCATTCATTAAAGTATTTTTAAAAATTTTGTAATATATAAAAACTAAATATACTTCTATTATATAGAATTATTCCTTAAAAATATAACTAGTTATTATAAGATCATTGTAAATCTAAAACTTTTGTACAGTATTGCACATCTGCTGATGATTTGTTTCGACATTTTGTGGTGGTACTGACAGCATAATTTAATAGTGAAAGTAGATGTTCCACAAATCAGAAGAAAAAGCAGATATGCATCCAGATATGCAACAGTGCTAAGATTTGATTCCTGAAACATGTTCTCAAATTTACCATTTTGTGAGGAGCAATCGCAGCATTGATCATTTCCAGGTAGCCTCATGACACATCGTATTACAGCTTGTTGAAGTTCAACTAAACTTGGATTTCCTGTGCCAGCCTCTGCCTTACCACTGGCGTCAAATGCTCGAAGTAAAGCACGTTCCTTGCAGTTTACTAGAACGGACATCCACGCTCGCTGATCTGCTTCGTCTTCCGCTTGAAAATGATACGTTCTGTTGTCTGCAATCAAGAACGTTAGCGCTATATTATTTTTATTGATATATTTCATTATATCAAAATTATTTTTATCAATATTTAGACGCGAATACATATTCTTTTGACAACTTCTTTTATTTTATAAACTAAGATTTTTTCCACTGAAAAGAATTTTTAAAAATTTTGCTAATAAGCACAAAATTTTATTAATTACTTGTATTTGTTATATATGTCAAGTTATAAAAATAATTGTAATATTATTATGTTCCACATTTATCTTTAATTTAAGAATCGTAGAAAGATTTTACATATCTTTTCATTGCAAATATCAAATTCTAAAGATTAAAAATAAAAATAGTAATATACTTAAAAGTCATTTAAAAACTTATAACTTTTGTAAAATATTATTTATTATAGGTAACTAATACTACAATGACATAGCTATATCTATTGCTTCAGTTCAAAAGCAATTATGGTAAGAGATAAAGAATTAACATCAGAGAAATTCTCTTCTTCAATTCTCATCTTCAATATTTCGACTTCTGAGAAGGAGTGTACATAAAATTATTTAAAGTTTATCTTCAAATTTCATGATCAATGGGTTAACAGTTCAACTTACAACTAATAAGATCGAAACCCCGTTTGTCATCCGGCACCAGTTTGATTTGACAGGTTAATAAATTCACTCTCGTCGGTGGTTTATTTTCGTCTGCGTGACAAATATCTAGATAACCTTCCGCTTGAACCGCGCAGCGTCTCTTTTGCCAAACTCTCCTCATTTTTCCCTCGCTTTTTTTCAAAAGATGCCCGGATCTGGTGACGCCATGCTGTTTATCACCTTGAAGCTGGTGAAGCGAATATCCCACATTCGTGTTTACGTTTAACTGAAAATCATGTAATATTTAATTATTATGGATCATATTTGCGAAGATCAGAGTTTATTATTTCAATTGTTTTAAATAAATATTGATCCAAGGTAATCAATTTATTTCATTCCAATATTTTATTCGCATGATAATTAATGGTTAATTGTAATATGTTTCTTTGTTGTCTTTCTGCTTATTTAAATAATTTATTATTATCTATGATTGCAAAATTACTCGAATAATACAAATAATTTAGTAATAATTTGTGGTAATTATTAGATAATAATTTTTTGTTCCTAAAAAATATTGTACAACTTAACTTCTTGTTATTAATTTTCCAAAAGGCAATAAATCTTTTGACTTAATATTAACAAAAGACTTATCCGTGAAAGCTAATATATACATAATAAATAAAATAAAAATAAATATATATAACAGATATAACTAAATTTTTATTTAAATATATTTTTATCATTCAAAGAAATTCTTATTTATTGATATTTTATAATTTTGTCCAACTCTGTTAAAGAAATCTATTTCATGCGATTAAGGAGGATCATTTACCTCTTTGTCGCAACCTGAACTCCTAAGCAGATTTCTCAGTTCTGTTAGCCGCCTTCTTTCTTCGTCTTGTGTCTGCCTGATCTTTTGTAATTTCACGCTGAGGTCCGCCACGTACGAGCCAAAGTGTTCGATGGTCTTTAGGCCGTCTTGAAAATAACTGTACAATATAGAAAAATGATATAGAATACATTTTAAAAGGGAAGGATATTTCATGAGACATTTCTATATTTTCCAACAAAATCTAAATAATTTGGGTAAAATGGTAAATTACTTAAATGATATCAAGAATTATTTAAATTTAAAAAGACATACAATATACACTATAATATTAGTAATATACAA